CATTGGCTTGAGTCCAAATCATTTCAATCTCTGTTGATGTCTTCAAATGATCTTCTCTTCTGCAGGCTTTTAAAAAATGACATTTTTTAAATGGTCAATACAGGACAATCTGCCCATTTTATAATCCTTAGTTTACATGTGCAAAGGCTCTTTTCCTATGAAAGGTACCTGTACACGTTCCATGGAATAGAACCTGATCATTTGAGCATCATACTCTGCACTAAACCATTACAGAATGACTCTTCAGTGTTGGTACTAAACACATATCACACGTTCTTCTCTCTCCCTCTCACCTCCTCTCGTTCTCTCTTTCTTCCTTGTGATTATGAATCTCTTCACTTCCCTAAGTGTATCCAGAGCCATCTATGTCCAGGTTTGAGCAGCACACATAGGAGAGCCTGCATAGGCATTATTGTTCTGAAATGTTGTGGTTTTGCTTAGAGAACTGCTCCGTCCCTCATTATCATTCAGAAAGAAAGACACAGCCAAAGACAGCCCTCAGCCATCTGGGGAGAAGCTGTCTTTACAGGGAACAGACAAGGGCTATCATTCTCTGGACCTCTGCTTATCTCAGATGCCTGTGGGCCTCAGCCCTCAGTGGGGGTCTGTGTGGCCCCTGGCTGGAGTAGGATCCAACAGGATCCTTATTAGAATATCTGATTCACAGAAGGCAGTGAGTGTAAGGTAGGAGATCCTGAGGCTGATCCTGCTCAGAGAGAGTGGGAAAGGTGGATGGGTCAGCTTGCGCTGCCACATGAAAAAAAACTGGACTGGATGGCATAAACCACAGAATTTAATTTTCATATTTCTGGTGCCTGGAATATCCCAGATCAATGTCCAGCAGGGTTTGCTTTCTGGTAAAGACCTTCTTCCTGGTTTGCGGATACCATCTTCTCACGATGTCTTCACACAGCCTTTCCGTAGAGTGAAAGGCAGTTAGAGAGAGAAGGGAAAAAGGAGAGCTCTCTGGATTTTATAAAAACACCAATTCGCCGGGCGCGGTGGCTCACGCCTGTAATCCCAGCACTTTGGAAGGCCAAGGCGAGCAGATCACAAGGTCAGGAGATCGAGACCATCCTGGTTAAAACGGTGAAACCCCGTCTCTACTAAAAATACAAAAAAATAACGGGGCGTGGTGGCGGGCGCCTGTAGTCCCAGCTACTCATGAGGCTGAGGCAAGAGAATGGCGTGAATCCGGGAGGCGGAGCCTGCAGTGAGTGGAGATCGGGTCCCCGCACTCCAGCCTGGGCGACAGAGTGAGACTCTGCCTCAAAAACAAACAAACAAACAAAAACAAAACATGATTTCTACTGGATCAGGGAACGCCCCCTTATGACCTCGATTACATTTTAGGGTCCTAATATCTATAGTCACAATGAAAATTAGGGTTTCAACATGAATCTGAGGGCACAATTCAGTCCATAGTAGGTGGGACACAGCCAAGGCTGTGCTTCCAGTCTCAGGGCACGGGGCAGGTTCCCACAACTCAGCACACGGGTGGTTCCTCCCAAGTGTCAGAGGAAAGACCTGACTCTAACTCTACGGCTCCCTGTTGATAATGGGACACCAGCGCTCCTACTTTCCTAGTGTTCCTGGGACCATGGTGTTGTCTTTTGTTTATTGTGGAATGTGTTTGCCATCTTCAGACAGGTCTTTGACATAGCAAGGATATCCTTGGGGTGCTCAAGCCCCACAGACCCTCCAGTGTTGGCTGCCACATCCTCCCTGGAGCAGCCACTAAAGTTTCCTGCTGTCCTCACGGCTGCAGGGATGCTCAGTCACGTCACTGGGAGGAGATCCTAGTGTGTCCTGTCCTCGCCTGCTACAGGCATGCTTGACATGAACTATGTTTGTTTTACTCCAACGGACATTTTATATCACATTGTTTACAGTAGAGACATACCCCTCCACCATTGACCCTTTCCACACTGCTGCACCCACCAGGTGATTTGCATATTGTGCCCTAGGGGAGGAGGTAAAAGCTCAGCTGTAACCTTGCCTTGACAGACCAGGACTCCTCAGTTCACCTCACAATGAGGCTCTCTGCTCAGCTCCTGGGGCGGCTAATGCTCTGGCTCCCCGGTAAAGACAGAAAAAATATGACGTGGGAAAATGGGGTCAGAAGGTGAGTTCTGGGTGCTCCACAGCTTCCCATATTTATTTCAACCATGTGTTAGAGGCACATGGTCTATGCTCCAGGAAAGAGAATTCGTATTTTTGTCTTACGAATAATCAGGATTCACCTCCAAGGAACAATGACCTCTGATTAAGATCCTGAAAATAAAGAGTTCCCTGCTGGCTGGTAAATAATGGGCTCATTTTAGAAAGTCTACTTTTCATGATATAAATCAAAACTTGAAAATATATGTAACTGTAAAACAGGGAAATCATGAAAGCTGCTCATAATGTGTCTATATAACTTGCACTTCTCTGTTATTATTTCAGGATCCAGTGGGCGATATTGTGATGGCCCAGACTCCACTCTCCTGGCCTGTCAGCCTGTCACCCCTGGAGAGCCACCCCCATCTCCTGCAGGTCTAGTCAGAGCCTCTTGTCCAGTGATGGATACACCTATTTGTATTGGTTCCTGCAGAAGCCAGGCCGGTCTCCACAGCTCCTGATCTATTTTGTTTCAAACCGGGCCTCTGGAGTCCCAGACAGGTTCAATGGCAGTGGTTCAGGCACTGATTTCACACTGAAAATCAGCCGGGTGGGGCTGAGGCCTCATGTCCTCTTCCTCAAAGACTCTCCAGGCAACTGCCTGAGCCCACCTGACTCTACCCTCTGTGGACACATCCCCTGGCACCACAACCTCTCCTTCCACACTGAGGCTGAGCTTCCTTGGGAGCTTTGTGTTTGGGGCCATCACACTGTGCAGGGTCCCAATGAGCGACTTGCTCACAGGAGGATGTGCAACATCTCCAGGTTCCAAAGTAGTGTTTATGATGGTGAAATCCCTTGAATTTTGGTTAGATGTGAGTCCCCGCTTGTGAATACCTTCTACAGACATGTCATTCTTTGTTTTGCAAAATATTTTCTATAAAACATCCTTTCTTTGTTTTTGAACCTTTTTTTGGTTAGGAATATAATTTTAATTACACTACCTTTAGTTTCCACACTGGTGATTGTGGGAGTGAAATCAATAGATTTTAGTTTATATGTGTGTTCTCACTCATGAATGGAAAAGTAAAGACTTGTAATTCTTTGTATGTGTGACAAATTCCTTGCTGTATTCCATGATTTCCTTTTTTTTTTTTGACATTTCTGCTTGGAAATACAATTTTAAATTCATTCACAATGGGATCCATCATCTTAGAATAGGCAATAATTTCTGATGTGATTCATTTTTTAACCAGAAAAAAAAAATATTTTGTCCTTTTGATACAAACATTACTTTAATCATATCACCTCATGACAGGTAACTAACATGCTCATGAATAATTCATAAATATTTTTGGAACATTATTTTAAGTGACTCTATGCAAATCATACATTTTTCTATATCATTACTGTTAGAATACGGAAATCAGATTTATTTTTAGGTAATGACCACATTGTGTAAAAATAATACATTTACTTATTTCAAAATCTTTTATTGATTTTTATGGCAACTTAATATAAAAATTGTCATTTATCAAAACCTGCTGGATTACATTCTGCTGGGCCTTCTGCTCAGCATGTCAGTGCTTCTGACAACTCCCAGACCAAAACAGTGGTCTCTGCTAGACCTCCTCTAAGGATAGAATAAGTTTCAGAAGCTCTGCTTGGCTGCTGTGATTTGACTCGGACTGAGTGACATGACCTCAGGTCTCCTTGTACAAGGACTTCGCTAAATCTTTGGTGATTATAGAAGTAAAGACCTACTCACTACATTACTTTCCTGTGAGGCTCCCAGTGGCACAGGCTTCACCCAGGAAGCCAGGCAGCAGTGCCTTCAACTCTGTGGTTCTTCACAAGTAACATATTTGGCTTCTTTTTGGATCCACATCATCAACTACCATATCCACCACCATCCAATCCACACCCCATCCACCATAATCAAGGGCAGTTTAATTGAACAGTAGCTGACCTCTCCTATGTTCTTTTGATGCTCCCACTCCTGTAGTATGCCCAATCTCAAATTCTGAAATTTGGAAAATAAAACAGTTTACATCATCCTGTATTTTCTCAGTGATCCATGGAAAATACGACATCTTTAGTATACTGCGTCTTCCAGCATATGCATTTTATTTTTAAAACCAACTTTTGAAATGTTATTAACTCCCTTTTTCTATCAGCAAGAGGTAATTGTAATCAAAGGATTTTAGTATTGGGAACTTGTGTCTGCTATGAAATTACAAAACATATTTAACACTCACAACCTTGATGTTACTGACTGTCGTCAGCCAATTCCCCCTGAGGAGAACTAGTGGAGAATCCTGTCTCTACTGTCTCATGGAGTGGAGAACAATGGTAAATAGAAGAAGCAGGTATTTAGAAAGTGGGAAATGCCAATGTTACATATAACCAAATATTTTCTTTAAAATGTACCCAAAACTATTAAACCCTAAGATGTATTCGACATGTTTTGCCAGAGATGATCAATTGTCTAGCTGTTTTGCTCAATAAATTTAAACAAATGCAGGCAAGGAAGCAGGATTCAGATGAGCTTCCATTCTCCTTGCCCTTTCCTCCCAATTTTTTACTCACAGGGCCCTAGAACCTCCTCATTCTCCAGTCGCTTATGAGAGTCAAGGCTGTGGCAGGAGACAGGAACATAAACAGGGCACTGACCTGGCACAATGGCTAACACTGGACTCCCAGCACGTGGGGAGGCCAAGCCAGGTGGGTGGCTTGAGCCCATGAGTCTGGGAACAGGCTGGGCAACATGGTGAAGCACCGACTCTACAAAAAAAATAGAAAAATTAGCCATGCTTAGTGGCATGCCCCTGTCGTCCCAGGCAGAGTCCTCAGCAGCAAACTCTGCCCTGAATTCTCCAACAGCCTCTTGTTCTGCAGATTCAGAGACCCTGCTGAACTGTTCCCCAGACAAGCAGCACATGTGAGCAGCTGGGACACCCCAGCAGGGAGGTTTCTGTTCGGGGCTGTACCACTGTGGGAGGAAACCAGTAATAAACCCCAACATCCTCAGCCTCCACTCTGCTGATTTTCAGTGTGAAATCAGTGTCTGACCCACTGCCACTGAACCTGTCTGGGACTCCAGAGGCCCGGTTGGAAACCTCATAAATCAAGAGCTGTGGAGACTGGCCTGGCTTCTGTAGGTACCAATCCAAATAGGTGTTTCCATCATCACTATCCAAGAGGCTCTGACTAGACCTGCAGGAGATGGAGGCCGGCTCTCCAGGGGTGACGGGCAGGGAGAGTGGAGTCTGGGTCATCACAATGTCCCCACTGGATCCTGAAATAATAACAGAGAAGCACAAGGATATATAGACACATTTTGACCAAGGTTCATGATTTCCCTTAAGATATTGATTTACAGTTACATATATTTTCAAGTTTGGATTTATATCATAAAAAGTAAACTTTCTAAAATGAACCCATTATTTACTAGCCAGCAGGGAACTCTTTATTTTCAAGATCTTTACCAGAACACTGATTATTGTTCCTGGGAGGTGATTCATGCTTATTCCTGACACAAAAATATGAATTCTTTTTCCTGGAGCATAGACCATGTGCCTCTAACACATTCTTGAAATAAATATATGAAGGTGTGGAGCCCAGAACTCACCTTCCCATCCCATTTTCCCACCTCATTTTAATCCTGTCCTTACCAGGGAGCCAGAGCATTAGCAGTCCCAGGAGCTGAGCAGGGAGCCTCATTGTGAGAAGGTGACCTGAGGAGTCCTGATCAGTCAAGGCAAGGTTAGTGCTGAGCTTTTATCTCAGACTCACAATGGAGGGATCTTTTTAGGGGACAACATGCAAATCACCTGGTGGGTGCAGCAGTGTGAAAAGGGTCAGTGGTGTAGGGGGATGTCTCTTCCATGAACAGTGTGACATAAAATGTTCGTTGGAGCAAAACCAACATAGTTCAAGTCAAGTTTGCCTGTGTTCAAGGGAAGAAGGCTCTGATTGTGAAAGTTGGGACCTTGGGCAGGGACACATTGTGCAGAGCATGCCACACTGAGAAAGCACAAGGACCCTGACAATGTGGAAATGTGTTTCTAGGATGTATCTCTGGGAGGTGAATGTCATCCTGCATGGCTCCCTCCAGTCAATCTAGAGAAGAAAACAGCCCCGTTCCCACAAGCGCTGATGGGCAGAGGGCCTGCAAATGAAAAGTGCTCCTGAGCCAGTTCAAGCGTTGCCTGGTATCCGCTGTTACCAGGGTAACTGGTGAAGATGATTCAATGCAAGTGTTAGAATCTCCCCTTCCCTGGCACCTGGTAAGTAGGCCCCAAAAAAGTGCTATGGCCAAGGGCCTCACAGGGAGAATGATGTGTGTCTCTACATTTAGAGTCAAGAGCCCAGTGTAAGCAAGAGGAAATGGGGCAAGAATTTTACGCCTCAGGCAGTGAATCTAAAATTCCTGGTGACCAACTGTTCAATCTGTGATATATCCCATCATAATCATCTCACATGTACAAGATTAACCAGCAGGATCTCATAGGGAAGAATTTCCTCAGTTAATGATACAGAACAAATAAGAAATGACATTGCATGATGTTTTTCTGAGTGGTGTTTAGGAAAACTCTTCTCACACAGTCTCCCTGGTCATGTGGGATCAGGTCCTATCAGGGCTTCCAGGTTCTTGCCAATCCTGAGTGAGACCTGAGTCTCCCCTAGCCTGGATGTGGTGCAGTCACAGCCGTGAGTCTGCAGTTGAGAAGGAAATTGTCTACGTGAGAAGAGCAAGGACTGCATCTACAGTTTTATGTCTCAGGGTAACCTGTACCTGTAACTGACATTTTCATGGTTTCATGTAAAGAAGTGCACAGCTCAGGGATGTGAGTCTGCCCCACAGCTGATCATTACAAATGGTAACAATCTCATGTTTCTTCATTTGTTAGTGATGTGCTTATTATTTAATTGAACAGCTCCTGAATAATGGTGCCGATACCAAACACCATCACGAGGACAGTCACATTTCTGGAAAAAAAAATCCAGAACAACTGAAAGATTAACTTGTAGTGCTATGTAATCTTGGATAATTTAACTGAAATTCATATTTGATTGCCCAAGAACACATGAAATTCTAGGTAAGATTCCAGAGGAAAGCTTGATTTCAATATCTACTGGGAAATCTACCAAAATAATCTTTTTTCCAAGATTGGAAAAGTTAATTGAATAAAAATAAAATTGACCTTTAAATATTTCACTCCATTGCAACAATGTAGGTTAAGGAGATCAAATTGTACTTAAGAAATTCAATTAGAATAAAGGCTCACAGTAAGCCGTAGTTAAACTATTTCAGTTTTATTTACTCTTTTCTCATTAAATTTAGTAAGTTTTGCATACCTGACTTTTTCTTTTCTTATATTATTAACCAATTTGAATCTCCTTAGTCTTCAAAAGTCAGACTCCTAGTTAATCATAATATTGAAAAAAGAAACATCAGAGGTTGAAGGAAAAGAAAAAGGAAACACAAAACACAATCAGCCTAACTAAAATAGAACAAGATGGTGCATCATATTCCAAGTTTTAAATAATTATTCAGAAAGGGTGTTAAATAAAGAATCAGTTCTATCCATTATGTAATATAAAAACTTGAATGGCAGGGAAGTGACTAACAGGAAAAAAAAATTTGTCATGTTTTCTTTTACTAAAAGTCAATTCTTGAAAATGTTGTTTTTGCAAAGTATTCTTTGAGATGCTTGAATTTAAGATATCCTTCCTATTTCCTATGAAAATTAATAATAAAGTGTTAAGAAGTCTACAAGTGTGATTTTAAAGAATCTCATAATCTGTTGCCTTGCATAGTTATAAATTGTGAAATCTTGTAAAAATATTTCCAATCAGAAAAGGACTTTGAAATTACTCTGTATTACCTCTAGACTTAAAGAATAATATTTCTAATTCTGATTAGAAACCTCCCTTTCTTATCTGCTGACACATTATGCCAAGGCTTTGACAACAGCAGACAAAGCTGGTCACTGCACAGTGGACACGGATCAGAAGGTGTCACAGCTACCTCCATTCAGATCTAGGTGTGCAGCAGGCCTCTGCCTCTGTGTGTCTCTAACATGATCCATGATCACCTGAATGAGGGAGGACTTATGCAGGTGGGGTTTATTATGGATGTGTCTCCTGTTTCGGATGCGGTTAGTTTGGGGTCCACAGAATTGGGAGCAACTGCATTATTCATAAGACTTGGGAAGAGAGTCTTAGAAGTGAAATTGTTTGTGTTCATGACCCCGGAGTCAGTGTTTGGGGTGGACAGTGTGATCTGATTTGTAGGGGATTGGAAAGACTTGTGGCCTGAGCAAGGAAAAGAGATGGCCACAGGGCGGGGAGGGGGGCAGTCGTACACATGACTTTATTGGGTGAGACTTTCACAGGTTTGCAGAGACAAGTCCCTCCCAGCAGGAATCTGTGCAGAGAATAAGGTTCCAGGGTTGCTTCTCAAAGCGATGGGACACTGGACAGGGGTTGTGTGCCTAGGGGACGCCACAAAGCAGCACAGTGGGGAGTTTCTGGTTTAAGCTTTTCATAACTGTGGTTTATCTTATTGCTAGCAGATGTGGTTGAAATTTTCTGGACATGAAAAGTAAGTATTTTCTGAAAACCCTAAAAATATTCATCTTTGGGCTGTTTTTAAAATAATTACATCATAAAATTTGAGCTTGAAAGAGGTCATTAAGAAGTGAACACAGTTTTGAAATAAACAACATAGGGGACAGGATGGACACACAGATCGTCTTTAGCTCATTTATATATAGCACTGTTTCCAATTCTGTAGACTCTGTTCTACAGACTGTATTAGTCCAAATTGTCCAAACCAACACTACCACGGATGAGGCTGAGAAACACAGAGACCTGTTCCCCACCTGGGGCGCCATGAAGGTTCTTTTTGATTGAAGGGGAGAGTTTCTCTTTGGTTGAGAATCAAGACCAAGCCACTCACTGAGCATCCCTTGGTGAAGTTGCAGGTCCTGTGACTGGATTCCTGGCTGCAAGGCACCTGTGGTTGAAGCTATCTGTATGATCTCACCACCTGTAAATTGTCACTCAATGGAGCATAGATTCACAGATAAATATTCTGGAACACAGAGGGCTCAGGGAATGAAGGCTCCGTGAATGTGTATCTTCTGCTTCTGAGAATCCATCTCTCCAGCACTGGAAGAAACAGGGTTGTTTGTATGTTGCACCTTCAGGCCCTGTTCTAGACCTCTCTAAGCTGAACCTCTAATGTTTGAGTTATTGTTCTTTACTTTTTCTTGGAAAAAATGTTTGGAAATCCTATAAAACTATGCACACAGCGGTGGGATTAAGTGGTGAGCCTTGCCTCTGTTCTTGTTAGTGTTTTTGTAGAGTCCACCTCACCTACCAACAAACTGCACAAAGTGAAGCAATGATTCTGTTTCCTTCCTGAGCATTCTGTGTCGTCACTTCAATCTCTGTCTCTGTCTTCAATTTGACTTCTCTTCTGCAGGCTTTGTTAAAATGTCTGCCTATCTCTATCTTATAAGGACAATCGTGATATCCTTATAAGACAGAGATAGGCAGACATTTAACAAAGACTTTTTATTGACCCACCTGGGCCAGGGCCCACTTGATCAATACAGGATAATCTGCCCATTTCATTAATGCCCTTAATTTACATGTTCAATTACATTCTGATGAGAAAGCAAAATGGGCTAAAAATGTCATCTTCAAGGAAACATTCATGTTTAATGCACAGAAACTGAAGATGAAGCCTGAGTTCTCCTTCCTCATGAGAGAGTTGGAAAAGCAGGAGGAAGAGGAGCAAAGCTGGGTCCCCATGTCCACGAGGGCCTCCTGAGGCTGCTCCTGCTCAGAGAGTGGGGAAGGCGGATGAGTCAGCTTGCGCTGCCACACCAAAAACACTGGACTGGATGGCATAAACCACAGCATTTAATTTCCACATTTCTGGTGCCTGGAATATTGCAGATCGATGTCCAGCAGGGTTTGTTTTCTGGTAAAGACGTTCTTCCTCGTTTGCAGATGCCACCTTCTCACCATGTCTTCACACAGTCTTTCCATAGAACAGAAGGCTGTTAGAGAGAGAGAGAGAGGAAAATGGAGAGCTCTACGGATCTTATAAAAACATGAATCCTGCTGGATCAGAGACTCCCCATTATGACCTCAATTACATCTTTAGAGGTCCTAATTTCTACAGTCACATTAAAATTAGGGTTTCAACGTGAATCTGAGGACACAATTGAGTCCATAGTAGGTGGGACACAGCCAAGGCTGTGCTTCCGGTCTCAGAGCACGGGGCAGGTTCCCACAACTCAGCACACGGGTGGTTCCTCCCAGGTGCCATGGTCACGGGGAAAATTTGACTCTAACTCTAGGGCTCCCTGTTGATAATAGGACACCAGCACTCCTACTTTCCCAGTGTCCCTGAGACCATGGCGTTGTCTTTTGTTTATTGTGGAGTGTGTTTGCCATCTTCAGGCAGGTCTTTGACATAGCAACTTACAGGATATTTGATTCTGTGATTATGAAAATTAATTATTGATTAATTAATCATGAATAATAAATTAAGAGATACATTTATTCAGAAAAGAGGAGGGACAAATGATGAGCTTAAAAGAAAACAGAATGTCTTAAGAAGACATATTCCTTCAAACAAGAACAGTTAGAGTCACAGATTTTTAAACAAATGACTTTTTAGCAGCAATTACGAAATAGTAAATGACAACTTCAAATAAGCTACCACATATATAAGTTTATAGTCAAAATTATTTTCAAGAATCATGTAAACACATTT